AGCGGGGAGGTCGTTGTTGCGTCGAGTGCGAGACGCGTTATTGTCGACTGCGGGACAGCAGCGACTGGAGCCACGTGCGTGGCAAGACTCGGGAAAGCACGGCGCAGAGCAACGGCAACCTGCTCGCAACCGGCACGCCAGCGCAACTTCACGCAACGCTGTGCGAACGACCTTGCGGAAATAATGCTGCGAACCCCATGAGAATCGCGCGCGCAATCAGAGCCGAAAGCAGCCACAACCCGTGCCATGCGCTTTCCGAGGGCGGTTTCGAGCGCTGCTGGGCCATCATCGTCGTGACCGCGGTCCTTCGCAGAAAGCAACTCTCGCAACCACACTCGTTCATCTCGCCTCGCCGACGTGCACTCCACCACGCCAACAATTACGTCCACACCAACAATTACGTCCACGCTGCAGTCTCCATCCGCATCCATCGACACCGACCGCACGCCACCAACCGTCGCCCATCTGTGCGTGCCTCGGCCCACCGACGCTCTGCCAATCCGCGCCGCCGCCCGTCAACCCTGCTTGCCGTTCGCGAGCCGGAAATCGTGCGGCGACCGCTGCACGCTTCTCCACATCTTCCCGTGTCGCCGACCGAGTATCCGCCGACGCGTTCTGCCCGACAACACCCGCACTGCCTCTCGTGCCCCGCGCCCCGTGCCGATCGCTCGCGCGCCACGGCACGGTCGAGTTTCCCCTCCTTTTCCATCCATTCCCGCACGTTTCCAGCCTCGACGCCAACGGGGCCCAATTAGATCCATTAACGGCACTAATCCCCGTCATTGCGCCCACGATAGGTCCGCGCGTGCACCCCCCCCCCCCCCCATCATTGCCCTGCTCGTTTTCCGAGCACCAACCCATTCACCATGGGCCAGCTGCACAAGCACTACCTGCACGCGCCCGACACCAATAACCGCATCTACGTGTGCGCGACGTGCCAGACGCATCTGTCGACGCACTCGCTCATTATCTCCAAGCAGTTCCAGGGCCAGACGGGCCGCGCGTTCCTGTTTGACAAGGTCGTCAATGTTGCCGAAGGTACTTCAACTCGGCGGATCGCGACGGCCATGCATTGCGACCACGATTAACGCGAGCGCAACGACCTACACGTAGGCCCCGCCGAGGACCGCCACATGACGACAGGCCTGCACACGGTGCGCGACATTCGCTGCATCCATTGCGGCGCCGTGGTCGGGTGGAAGTACGAGTACGCCTACGAAGAGTCGCAAAAGTACAAGGTCGGCAAGTACATTCTCGAAAAGAACTTGCTCAGCGACATTTACGACCACTGAGCCCTCTGCTCGCGGCCACCCTTGGGTGGAGACGTATCGGTACGTGCGCGACTGATTGGGCACTGGTCGTGGTGCGATGCATGCCATTCGACATTGCGTGCAACGCGGATGGGCACGACGGTCGGGTCGGATGCAGTGTTGAGCGCGCCCTGTTCGAACCGGAACGTTGCTATCCGGGTTCCTTCGCTTGACGGTGCACTAACCGCCACGATTCTCATCTCGGTGCCGCCCCATCGTCATCCATCTAGACCGTCGAGCTTCTGAACCTTTTCCAAATCACTGTTGCCGCGGCCGGTCCATGGCATCACGGTCACCGCGCCGTCGTTTTCTCGGTGCACGCCGTTCGTTGCGCCAAGACCTTCCAGCTCGTCTTGTATTCCTGTTCGTTCCCGACCGGTCGCTTTCTCTCCACCACTGTACATTTTCCACGGGCCGCCCATGCATCGTTGAGGCCTTTGTGCGTTCCCGTTCGTTGCTCGCGTCGGCGCCGTGAACGTGCGGGGGTAGATCGTGCACGACGTCACGCGTGATTGGAACGGCGCACACGAGCCGTCATTGTTCATATTCCTGTCATCGCTCTCTTTTCTTCTTGTTCCTGTTCATCGGCGCCGGCGTTTCGATCTTCTTGTGCATACATCTCTATATTACATCCATTGGGCTGCCTTAACTCGTTTCGACGCGAACTGATCCAGTTGAGAATTAATTGTCCATCTGCACGCACATGCATGACCAACCGCCTGCGGATGCAAAGTTTGCGAGTCCTCCACGTCACTTCGCTTCCACGTCTCCCGACTTCTCCCTACTTCTCCCCTCTCTCCCTCCCTCTCTCTCTCTCTCCCGACCACTGCCCATTCCAAGGGCGAGCAGCTTTGATCGACTTGATCAAGAACAAGTACTCCGACCACCCGCTGTCAACAGTTCTAACTTCACACAATGCTTGGTCACGCTCATAACGCTGCTCTCGCACCAGCCAGGCACATTTACCACTTCATGGTCCTTCTCAAACCCAAGCGCAAGATCAAGCTGCTCAGCTCGAACACGTTGTTCGGCCTTGCTGAAATTGTCTTTGGCATTGAGAACCACGATGTTCATGCCCATATGTGGCACCTGACTCTTGACTCCATCGATGCGTGGGCAGGCGTGCACTGTGTGTCGCCTGGACGGCAACCATTTGCTGGCATTACGACCCATTCTGCCGCCAACACGCTCCTTGCCAATCTTCCGCGGCAATGGCGACGGGATCACACTCACATATAATTACGAGGTCTGCAAGTACTACCACGTCTACCTCAAGCGCGTCACAGATGCGCCCAACGATTTGGCTGTTGCTGACTACCCTAAGTTCATCCCGCTTCCGACTCCTGCTGAGCCAGGTACATTTGCGACCGCCTTCACGCACCTGACAGCTGGGCTTGAGTCGCTCAATGTCGGCCTCGGCTGCGTGCAGGAGGACCGGACCACTCGGTTTGACGTGACGACTGCATTTGGGCATGTCAAGACGCATGTTTATTTCAAAAACCTGAATGAGCTTATGTGGGCGGCTGAACGTGCCTTTGTCGACCCGCACCCTGCTGGCATTGATGTGCTTGAGCTTTATCCGCACAAAAATCTTGGATTTGGGCTGAATCGGTTTACGCTGGCCAACTGGCCAGTGGAGAAGGACGACCTCGTTGTCCAGTATGATTTCAAGGCCTCGTTCCCGCAGATAACCAAATGGATGCGTGCCGAAACGATATGTCATTGCTTCAATTTCGACAATCATGGTAACATCCGCATTTATCAAGGCCATCGTGGGACAAGGGCCCATACGCTGCTTCATGAGAAGCAGATGCGCCGCAACGTAAATGGCGTTTGAGACTGGGATGCAGCGCTGCACACGATTGAGCGGGTTTTGGTAGCCGATGCAGCCCGGAAACAGCATGAGCGGCAGCAACAGCGGCAGCGATAGCATCAGGCAGCAGTAGATTTGCACTGTTGCGGGATTGTGGGTGCGATTTCAGCAGTGTGGCTGTGGCTTTGTTATCCTGTATTCCGTTTAAATTTGTTGATCAGCTGTCTTGATCAAAATTTCAATACTTGATTGATTTTCACCTGTCTTAGATTTTTTGTGAGCTTTTGTGACAGGAATTAGACCAGGTTTAGTGGAAGAACTCTGCTGGACCGCGACAAGGCGGCCTGGTCCTTCATATACCAAACGACAAAAACGGAGTTACACCATCCAGAGTACCATCGAAGCCAATTGAGCATGTGCAAGCGAGCATGCTCCTCACTCGCCATCACACTCTCACGCGCGCCATCGAGGATGTGGAGCTATGACGAAGGCTGCAGCACGTTGGTGGTTGTGACTGTGTGCTGTCACATGGTCTTGGATGCAGGCTGACTGAGGCCAGACGAGTCTGGGCCTGCTGGCGCACCAAAGACTGATGCATGACCACATCATTTTGGCTGATGTGAGTCCTTGTTGGTATGAAAAAATGTATTTGTAACCCTTGGGCTGACACGGTTCATTCTTTTCTGACATGGAACGTCCTTGTTGATATGAAAGAATGCCTTTTGTGACCCTTGAGCTGACACGGTTCAATCTTTTCTGACGTGGGACGTCCTTGTCAGAATGATAAAATGCATCTTGTGATGAGAAGGATGGCGGTTTGCCAAGTTGGTTGAAATTCGAATTGTTTCGCATTACTCCTTGCCATGACAACCTTTGCCACGTATATAAAACCCCTGTAAGACCACCTGCTCCAATGCACGCTTCTGCACAAGCAATTTCGAAATCCAACCAGTGCAGTGCAGACTGCATCCAGCACAGCCCAATCGTCTTTAACACTCGCCCTCTGATTACCAACCTCTCAACTCACCACCTCAAGGCCCCGCACGGCCCCACACTAAGTTTGCAGCCCAACATGGCAACTGCTTACAGTCTTGATGTGACATGCCGCCTTGCAGACCGCACTGTTTGCCGTCCTGGCAACCCCCAAGTTGGCAATCTTGTTGAGGATGGTGTTGGGCGGTTCAACAAGGTGGTGCAGCTCAATGAAATCCGAGTGGCCACATCTTACTCAGTCCAGCCACAGTACCTTGATGCTGACCAGGGTGGTACTTGGCCTGGTGATGTTGACCAGGCTCCCATCTGGATGGGTGAGAGAAAGTGCAGGGTTAGTTGACCCGCTGTTTTTTAAAACAAAATCGCCACAAGCTGGGACTGCACACTTCATGATGGCAATTTTAAACAGTCCACTGACGCTGTGTTGGCCATGAAATCATCATGGTGCACGTGCATTGAATTCAGCACCACATTGGCAATGCATGCAGATGACAACACCACCATCCCTGAAGCTGAGCTCTCCAAGCAAGTGGACCATCAGGAAGCGTCACAAAATTCAAGAGCAATCGTTAGAATCATGGCGTCAAGAAATGGTTTGTGAACCATCAATTGTTGGGTGCAGAAGTCTCACTACCACCAGCAATAGAGATAGAATGGGGCACACGTGAAAAGGACGATGTGCACAGGCGGAAAATCAGGTGTGTCTGCAGAAAAGCACGTTTCAGCTCATTAGCAACCAGATCCAGGAAACATGTCTGATCCAGCACTTGTCTGATCCAGCTGCCACAAACAGCATCAAGAGGGGGGCAAATAGCAGCTGGGCTCAACAGGCTCAACTCCAAATGCATGAAATTTGATGTTCGTGAGAGCAACAAAGCCAAAATTGAATACAAAGGGGGCAGACTGGGATTGAACCCAGGACCTCCAGTACCCAAAACTGGCGCCACACCACTAGACTATACATCCGTGGTCATCAAAAGTAATTAAGAGCTTGAGTTCCAAAATTTTTGTTCCGTCAAAACCGTCGCACGCACGTGTTACGATTGAACAACCTCGTTTCGCTTGCCTGTGATGCTGCTTCAACAACAACTTGGACAGGTCCTCCATTCGCCGACAACACTTGTTCGTGCCGTGCCGACTCGACCCGTGCTCGACACTTCTCGCAAACTCGTTCATCATGGCTGGCGGCGGTGCTTACATTGGTACGCCGTCGCGAACGCTGCTCCTTCGACGCCGGCAACCTCGCCCCTGCCTCGAGTGCTGTCAACAATGCATGGTAACCCAAGATTGCCGCCTATGTGGCGGAGCCCACCGGCAGTGCAAGAACGGGGCAGGGGCAGTTTGCGGCATCGCGCGCACTCAGCTTTGGTGGACGAATAACTGACCACCGCTTCGGTTTGCCACGATATCGTAGGTTGGTGGGGTCAGATGCGTACGTATCCCACTCCACGCTCGCTTGTTCCGCGCATCCAACTCGCCCGTCGCACGCCGTTCGCGTGGTCGCGGCTCCCTCCCATCGTCGACACGCCCTGCCTGACCGTGCCACCCCTCTCACTCGTTCTCGCGCGTTTGTAGGCGGTCCGCACCAGGCGCAGACGGGCATTGTCACGTACCAGATTTCCCCGTTCCGCCAGCGCGCGTTTGCCGGCGCCTTCAAGAAGGGTGTCTTCAACGTTGTCCGCCGCACGACCGCGCAGGCGCCCTACATCATCCCGCCGTTCCTGATTGGCTACAGCATGTTCAAGTACTGCAAGGACAAGTACGCCTGGTACCACACCAAGGAGGGCGCCGCGCACGCCGGCCACTAAGCTCGCACAGTACTGCACCACGCGTTCGTTTTCGTTTGAAACCGGCCCGACGCGGATGCCGCTCGCGCGAGCGGCGCTCGTCGGGATCTCAGAATTGCCGTAGCGTAGTTTGATTGATTGTGTTCGTAAATACAGCCGCATCGATGCGAATGGCGAATTGGAATCGGGAACTTGGCTTTTTATTTCAGGGGCGCGGCCACGACGGCTCGGGATTTGCAACACGACCAAAAACTGTGAACAAAAACGGATTTTCCATTTCAAATGCATACAAACGTTGGCAGCGTCTACTTATTCTTGGCCTTCTCGGTGCGCTCGCTCGCGACGTGCGCCGCGTAGACGACGCGCTCAAGGTACCGCAGCGCAATCATACTCGACGTCATTGTCATCCACCCGGACGGGAAAAACACCCACGTTTTGTAGAAGCGCACCGACATGGTCGCCGTCATGACCCCCGCGCACGCTACAAATGCAACGGTCGCCATCGTGAGCTGGTCTGCATGGTTCTTTGAGGCAAATCGAGTACTCTCAACACGTACCGAGCATCAACCATGCGCGCAGCGGGTCCTTAGACACAACGTGCGCCGCGTAGAACAGGAGAAGACCCATGGGCACGCCCATGGCGACCGACATGACGGAACCTGTGGCGCGCGAAATGAATGAGCTCGGCATTTTGGCGCGATAGTTGCGGGTCCGCGCGCAAAATCGCGTACCGGCCATCAAGTAGCCCACGATTCCGCCCACCAAGACCATGGCCGCGTACGAGTACGCAAACATGTCAAAGTGCGGCGTGAGCGTCGACGTGAACTGCAGCGGGTGGTTCTCGAGCGAGGTCGCGTCGGCGGACTTGGGCGTCGTGTCTGCGGGTGCTGGAGCATCGTCGGTCGCAGACTCGGCACGCATACGCGACTGTTTTGCAGACTTCTTGGCCATCTTGTTGGTTGCTGGAGCTCGAGTTGATTACTGGAGAGCCGAGAGGTTTGCCCGCGGGAGATGGTTGGCGGTTGGACTGGTTGGATGGGGCCGGGTGGCGAAGTGATCAGTCAAGCTGCGCTGACAAGCATGCCACGCTTCGGGGGCATCGCATGGGGCATGTGACGATCCACCGCATCTGAAAGCCGGCGGCAATGACCTGTGGCTGATCAATCCAAGTGCCACTGTTTTCCATTTCTGTTTCGTGCCCTTCGGCTCCGCACTCCACCGGCACTCCACCGGCACTCCACACGCAGCATGCTCGATCAGACCCACGTCTCTGGCCGCGTGTGCCGCGCGTGCCGGGTATAGCACTGCCCAGCGAACGTGTCTATGCCAGAATGCTTGTGTGGTGGTCCAGATCATGAAGTAACGGCGCACGGTAATGACGACGCGCGTCATTTGGATCGACCATCAAGCGCTCAACTTAGCTGCCTCTTTGGTTCTTGAATGGGATGAAATGAACACTTCATCACGCGCGCAGGCAACAGCCAGCATCCTGCCCTTTTTTTGGAACAAATCGGCATTCAGCGCATGTCCAACGAGTCGGCGCGTTTTGCCGAGCAGTTTTTGACCGGAAGAAAACAAAATGATCAGAAGCATCGACGGCCTCTTTCAAGTGTGGGCAGACACGGGCAGACGCCACTTTGTTTCAGCACGTCCGGTCCCACGATGATTTCAACGATGCTCGGCAACGTCAACAACAAACGCAGGGCCACGCGGCGACCTGCGATCAAAATGCTCGAACCATGGAATGGTCGTGATTTGTCGTCTCTATGGGCGCTGCGAAACGTGCCAGGGCCCCGTGGGCCATGTAGCGGTTGCTGCTTCCCCACGCCTTTCGCACCCACATGTTTGTGGTTGTTGCCTGTCGAATGATCATGCCCGACCATTTTTATCGCACGACTGTGTCAATTTCGACCACGCGGTTGTATTTTCTATGGTTCCTTTCCCCGGGATCGCGTTCCACCGGTCCATCCCTCGTTTTTGAGTGCGACCATGTGTGATCGTGCGCACGTTGCAGTACGTCCGTCACGGCAGTATAAAGAGGCGTGGACCGCACGCGCTCGCCATGCTCCTCATCGCAGCCTAGACGAGCGTGCCGACCTTCTCCACCATGTCGCATCAACCCTCGCTCTTTGCGCTCCTGTTCCTGCTCGCGCTGCTCTCACCCAGCGTGTACGCGTTCGGCATCGCGTGCAAGCCCGCCGTCGGCGACAAGTACCTCCTCCCGCGCGCGGCACCATATGACTTAACGCATCACGCGTCGTACCTGGCGTCGGTTCCGCACCACGAGCTCCCGACGCTCACTGCGCGCGCCGCTGCTGTTGCAGCCGACACGCCGCCCAAGGGCCTCTATCTGGCGTTCACGGGCGACACGATCCTCGGCGACGAGACCAAAGGCGTCTATGAACTCGTCAAGAGCGAGAACGTCGACGCGATGGTGATCGGGGGAGACCTAGATTACGAAGATTCGCCGGCGCGCTTTGTCGAGCAGCTGGACGCGTATTTGCCAAACTTGCCCGTGTTCATGTCGATTGGCAACCACGATTTGAAAAAGTGGGCGTCAAGCAACGGGTACTCGAAGGTCTTGACGTGCGTTGCTTACCTGCCACATTTTCGATTCATTGCATGCGCGAAGCTGATCTCTGTTGCTGGGTCGTAGCGATCGCTACAAGCGGCTCGGCATGGACAAGTATTGCACGGGCGAGGTGGGCATCAAGTCGGCGTGCAACTTCAAGGGTGTGGTGCGTAATTTCCGCATCAATGTGATCTTGATGACAGCTCTCAACTCATTTTGCCCATCTCTCGGCATCAACAGACTGTAGTCACGTCGGGCATTGGCACGCGTGGGTCGGGCCACGAGGCGTACCTCGAATCGGCCCTGTCGAGCGCGCCCAAGGCCGCGTGGAAGTTTTGCTCGTGGCACAAGAATCAGGCCAAGATGCAGACGGGCGACAAGAACGACGAGGTTGGGTGGGACGCGTACGAAATTTGCCGCAAGTACGGCGCAATCGTCCTGACGGGCCATGTACGCAGAGTCTTGCTTCGCCTCTTCAATCAAATTTTTGGGGGTGGAGAAAACTCACACAATCGCATACGTATAGAACCACGGCTACTCGCGCACGCACCTCATGGCGTCGTTTGTCAAGCAGCAAGTCGTGAGCACGTCGTCGAATCTGGCCGTGACGCCTGGCAAGTCGTGGGCCACGGTCACGGGCACGGGCGGCCGCTACTTCTACGGCGAGGGCCCGTACGCCGACGCCAAGTGGTGGGCCGCGACAGCGACCGACAAGGACGACCCGGCGTTTGGCGCACTCTTCTGCCGGTTCAACGAGGACGGCAACTCGCCCTACAAGGCGTCGTGCCAGTTCAAGCGGTATGACGGCAAGGTGCTCGATTCGTTCACGACAACTTTCACGCCCGGTGCGCCCGCAGCCGTCGCCAAGTACGAGAGCGCGGCCACTAAGTGCACGCCGATTCACATTGAGGCCGCTGCGAACACGGCCCCGACGACGCAGCGCGCTGACGGCATGCTCGACCTGCAAGTATCGGCCAAGGGGAACCCGGGCCACGCGCTCGCGTTTGATGTTCCCGTTCCCGCGGCAGTTGTGCAGGCCAATGGCAAGCTTACGATTGAGCACGCGTACCTGCAGGTGTACGGCGCGAGCAACGTGCAGCTCGGCGCGCATCCGGTCGATCTGGCCGTCGACGGCGGCAAGGTGCAGCGGTGGACGATTTCCGACGAGGCTGAGGCCAACGAGGTGTGGAACTCGCCCGATCTGGCGTCGGCGCTGCCGGCGGGGCTATGGTCGCGCCCCACAAATGTGACGGCCGTGCCCTTGCGTATCACTCTGACGCCCGTGGTCGACGCCAAGATCAAGTCCGCCGGCGATGTGCTAGTGCACGGCGTGGCCGCTGATGGGTGCCTGAGCCCGTCGCTTGTCGTGGTGGGGAAGGTTTGTGATGCGTAAAAGTGGAGTGTACATCGACCTGCTTACCAGATCGCGGAATAGAATACCGCCCATGGGGTTGTGGAGGTGGTTGCTGTATCACTACTGCGCATCAATATGTATCATCAGGCTTCTCAGCATGCCGCAACGTTAATCAGTCCCAGTTTCGATATTATAGCGCCAATTCCTGGTACGGTCCACCACGATCGCGACTTACACATTTCAAGCCAGTGAC